TCCTGGAATTACTGAACCTATTTGCCCTTAGATCTGAACCTATTCACCCATGAGTTCTTAATTTTTCCTCCTTGTGTGTATGTGAAGGGAGAGCCATTTTTTAAGGATTACATTTCCAACAGCAACCTGGGGGCAGGGGAGATAGCTCAGTGGTTTGAGCCTCAATCCTCGAGGGGGCCACTTAGGGATCTGGGGCAAAATTGCTCCTGCTAGTAAAGGCAGGGGGCTGGACTTGATGACCTTTCAGGGTCCCTTCCAGCTCCCCTCTGCCCCATCAGTGAGGATCTGTCAGGATTCTCTCCTCAGCCCACCCGCTTTTCCTTGTGCACCCTGTCTTTGGGATCCTATCTGCTCTGACAGCTTTGGATGTGATCGTTATATTGACAACTCACACAACTCCCATTTGGATTCCCTGTCAGTAGCTTAAACTGCACATGGCAAAAACGGAGTTTGTGTTCCCTCGCAAATCTTTCTTCTCCACGTCCTCAGTCGCCACTGACTGAACAAAATCACTCTCCTCTCAGCTGCTCATGCCTGTAATCTGGGCATTATTTTTGACTCAGCCCTTTCTATGGACCCTCATGTCATGGCTATATCCAAACCTTGTCATTTTACCTTCTTAAGTTTTTCAAGATCCAGCTTTTCTCAGTCCAGACTGCCAAAGCTCTCATCCAGTCCCTTATATTCTTCTCTATGGACGTGGATTTTTTTCAGGTTTTCTGAAAAATTCTGTTCATCCCTCCACTGGGACTCCCTTCTTTACCACATCAAAAATAAGCTGCATATCCGCTCTTTCAAAGCACATCTCATCACAGCCCTGCCTTCCCTACCACATGTCTCATCTCATGATGTCAACTACCAGCTGAGCTCTACCAACATACCCAACCTTCATCGCTTCTTAATCCAGGTCTCCTAGAGAACCTCCAGGCTTTCTTCCTTACCTGTCAGACAGGCTCCCTGAAAAAATTCATAGCTGCTACCTTAGCCTCTTAAAAAAAACCTATTTCTGCTGTCGTGCCTATAGAACCCTGCTATTTTATACAGCCAGAAACGAGGCAAGCCACACTGCACGCAGAGCTAATCTACATGAAAACATGCTGCCCTCCTACCCACCACCTTTACCCATTTGATTCATCCATTTGTTGCATCTTCTTGTTAATCTGGATTTTGAGTTCTTTAGGACAGTGGTTTTCAAACTTTTTTTCTGGCGACCCAGTTGAGGAAAATTGTTGATGTCCGTGACCTAACGGAGCTTCGGATGAGAGGTTTGGGATGTGGGAGGGGCTCAGGGCTGGTGTGTGGGGGTGAGGGCTGCAGAGTGGGGTGAGGAATGAGGGGTTCAGAGTGAGGGAGCAGGCTCTGGGCTGGGGATGAGGGGTTTAGGGTGCAGGAATGGGTTCAGGGGGGCTCAGGGCTGGTGTGTGGGGGTGAGGGCTGCAGAGTGGGGTGAGGAATGAGGGGTTCAGGGTGAGGGAGCAGGCTCTGGGCTGGGGATGAGGGGTTTAGGGTGCAGGAATGGGTTCAGGGG